GCATTTTCCCTCTTTAGAATCTGTTGAGGTCTGTTGCTGAAAGCAGTCATGTTTGTCAGTTTGCTCTTTGGTCTGTTCAATGGTAAGTAAATAAAATGTTTTTATTATTTTATTATTTCTCTTACAAATGTCTCAGAGTGAGTTATTGAGACTGTATGTGTTGGTTAAAGAGAAAAGAACTACTGTACTCTGGAGAACCTGAAGCTATTCTGCTCTGAGAATCCCTACACTTTTGCTGCAGAGCTAGAAGATTTTAACCAAAAATTCAAAACTCAGCAACAGAAACTAGTCCAACATTCACTAGAAATAATATTCATTCTGCTTTCCCATATTTTCCTTAACATTAGCCTCTTCTTCAGAGTATAGTTTGCACAACCATTTGTTTTAGAATTATAGCTTTTCGTGAGCCTCTCTGTCAAAGTCCTCACTGGAATCCCTAAAGCACAAAGTAATTTTCTTCTGAAATTCTTTGGTATGCTCCAGAAGCAAACATATATGTAAAATATGATCTCTCGTGTCTATTCCTTTTCTGAATCTAGCTGAACTAGTCCTTGCTCTATAGATGGGAAAAGTCTGTCTTGCAAAATAATGAATGTCACTTTGCTTGCATTGAAAGTTAATGCAATAGTCCTATGGTTGTTACAATCTTTGGCGTCTCCTTTCATTGGGATACTGAACATTTCCAGCCCATTGTTTTGTTGTTCATATTTGTTGGCATATTGTTGTTTGGCATTCAACATATTCAGTCTCTGCAGCTTGAAATTTTGGTATTCAATCTATTCTTGGTGATTTATATTTCCAGTTACTTTGAGAGCAGCTTTCATGTATACATAAATATGAACCAAGATCCAGCCAACTCAACAGGTGAAATTGGATGAGATGGATCTGTAGTTGGGAAGCTATCTGGTACTGGCCAAAATCCTGTTACTTGGCATAGTGAACCATTGCAGAGAAGGCTCATTGGATCAATGGAACTTTAGTAAGTTAATTTGCCTATAAGGTCCATTGATTCAAAGGAGCCTGCTCTATGATTTACTATGGTAAAGTGCAGTCACAGAGTAGGCCAATTGGAATCAATGTTACTTATGGAAGAACTGACTTGTTAAATCCCTATTGATTCAGTGCACCTACTTCAGTGTGATTTACTACACTAAACAGCAGGATTTTGGCCGATGAATCTGTGAATAAGACAAACAGCAAGTTGTGAAAAGAGCAAAACCACCATTGTAGCAACTATTTTTTTCTTGACCAATAGATGTGGCCAGGCTGGTTTTCTTGACAAGGACATTCATCCTGGGAGAGGTTACTTTTTCAGAGTCCTATGATGCTGTGCAGCTTTGGAGATCCAGGTCAACACGGCCACTGTCAGTTGCAGCAAAGTGGCCTTTCTGGCATGGAGGAGTGAAGGACCAAATAGGAGATCTTATTTCTAGTAGCAGTCCATGTTCTTAGTTTTACCAAGAACATCTCATGGTCAAGGTGAGGTAGTACCTCCCTATGAAATGCTGGGAGAAGGCACTTCATATTCCAGTACATGAGTCTCACCTCCGAGTTTGTTAAGTGACACAAAGTTGCTGCTGATTTGTGATCTTATGAATGTGTGACCTCCAAAATATCCTGTCCTCAACAGCCTTGTTCAGTGGTTGTAAACTCAAGTCTGTAGATTCCTTTATGGAATCAGTCAATTTCATATTTGGTCTTCCTTTTTCCTATTGCCTTCAACTTTTCCTAGCTTATTGTCCCCTCCAATGAGTCTTGCCTTCTCAAGATGTGCCCAGAGTAGGACCTCCTCAGTTTTGTTATTTTTACTGAGACAGTTCAGACTCACTTTGATCTAAGACCCACTTGTTTGTCTTTCTGATGATCCAGGTTATGGGCAAAGCTCTCTTCCAGCTCTGGTGGATATGTGCAGACAGTCCTCAGAAAGAATCGTGGGGCCTGGAGAATCCAGGAAGAGTGTCCTAAAGGAAGCTATTCTCCAGACCACACATGGGACAAAAGTAACTGTTTCTTAGGAACTGCATAGAGTAGTTTCAGTGTCAGGAGACTAAACTAACAATAACAGATTGGTTTACTGGGATGTTGCTCTTACCTAAGCAAGATAAACCACCACACCAGCACAGTTATTCTCAGAAAATGACCAACTTTTGGAAATGTCCTCAAACTCAGCAATGAAAGTGACACTATTTTTCCAGGCAGTGCTGGTTGTGGAAATAGATGTCCTTGGTTATATCAACTCAGCTGGCAAATATTTCTCTGATGATGGATGAACTTGTAGACTGTTTTCATAGAATGAATATCTGGAAACTATGCTTCAATGAATTAGTGCTTTCTTTAAGAAAGAAGAAAGAGGGGACTTGACCATGTGTGCGTATTGGGGGTAGAGGAGAAAATATGGTTTAATGAATGGCAGAGCAGACGGTTTGAACCAATATGGTTCCCGGTTCCAGTGCTGTTGTGTCAATTTGAAAGGATCTGAACAGCATTTGATTGGAGGGCCTGGCTAAGAGGCTGACTTAGGAAAAGCTTCCCAAGTTCAGATCCACATCCTCTGGTTTTGGCTGAACCTTGGTTCAATTTGTGTGTGGATTCCTTCATTACAATGAATAATGTGTATACTTTTCAAAGCCTATTATGGCAGATTTTCTCTGTCATGCTTTCTCAGGTGCCCTTATTTCCTTTACTTAGGGAGGCTGTAGTCATTTGGAAATGTAAAATCAGTAAGATTTACTTCTGAGTAAACCTGTCTAGGGCTGCATGCATACATCTTGAGGAGGCAAAACTAAAACCTCGCCCCACCCCAAAACAATACTTTCTGCCACATCCAGCCATCTCCCCTGAACCATCTAACCCGTCTGGTGGGCTCACCAGAGGCACCCCTATCACCCCCCCTCTTTTCTAAGAAGCTCAATTTCCCACTTGCCAGTAGCAGATTTTTTTTTTAAAAAAAAAAAAACAGAAACGGGGAGGGACCTCTTCTGTCAGAGCCTATGTAGATTAACCTTTCAATTAGCTGTTATCAAGTCCTGTGTTTTAGAACCAGTCCTTGCGATCTGCGGCCATTTAGCTTCAAGAAAGGTTTGAAGATTGTAATTTTTTTTAAATTAAATTTTCCACTAGGTAGATTGGCGGCGGGAGGAGAGGAGGGAAATTAATAATATTAATTCTCCCCTCCGGTGCATGTGTGTTTGAGAGTGTACCCCCTTCTGACCCCCCCCGTCTGAAGGTATTGTGTTTGTATGTTTCTGAATGCCTCAGTGGGGCTCCCCCCCGTTTGCTCTCTTTTTTTTGGTGGGGGTGAAGGTGGGGAGGGGGGCAAGAAGAGGAGCCTCGCAAATCAAGAGGAAGGATCCAAAAGGTATTGATTTTCCCCCCTAATATCGCTACCTTTGATTTTTTTTGGGGGGGGGGAATGGGGAAAAAAACCCATTGATGCCAAACCTCAGATCCGCTGGATTTTGGGATTTCCCAGCCCCCCGCCCCACACTCCCCGTTGCCTCGCATGTCACTCCTGGCTGGATTGCCGGCTCCGTGTATTTGGGGAAAGGGGGGATGGTGGAGGGGAAAAGGCTCGCGACTGTTGTGCTCTTGGCTCGGGTTGCTGCGGCCAGGAGGAGGAAGCAGCCAGAGGGGAGCTGGCGGCGGCGGCGGCGGCGGCGATCGCCTGTTTTGCTGGAGCAGGAGCGGCCACGACAACATTCCGCAGGAACCGCTTCTGCAGAAGCATCTGCCAGCGGAGGAAAGGCGAGAGGAGGTCAATTTGCAAGCTCAAGCAAGGTGGGGGGGGGAGAGCAAAGAGCCTGCAGCGCTGAGGTTAGAGTTGCGGGAGTGCGTGCGGGCGAGCGAGCGAGGGATGGATGGACGGATGGATGGTGTTTGCCTCTGGATGACAAGGCTGCAATATATACACCCTCTTCTCCGGGTTCTCTGTGTAACGGGTCTTGTTGTGGCCCGTTAGCGGACTTTTTCCTTTTTTTGCCGATGCCGGAGGCCCACTGCACGTGTTTACAAACGCTTCGGCTCGGACCCACGCGTTGCATTGCAGGGGCCCTTGGCATTTTGAAGCTGGCGCGCCCCCCCATCCCATCCCCACCGTGGAGTGAAATGAGAAGTGGAAGAAGTAGCAGCGACAGCCGGCTTGGGTAGGAGGGCGACCGGGCCGTGTGTGTGAGAGAGTGTGTGTGTGGTGCATCGTTTCTTTCTGGTGCGTGCGTGTTGCATACTCCCACCCCGTGGTCTTCTGGCTGTAATTGTTTTTCTGCAGGAAACGGGCGGGTTAGGCGAGCCCCATGTGCATTGTATATACAGTAGCCGGGCGAGTTTGCGTGTACGCATCTGAGCAGCCCACGATGTGCGGCTGGGAATCACTGCCCTCCTATATCGCGGCGCAGGGCTTGCTGCTCCTGCTCCTGCTGCTGCTTTGCCAGGCAACTGAGGGAGGAGGGTTTATGAGTCATGATGAGAGCATGTTTATTTCAAACCTTGCCCGACCGGATGGTTCGCGAAAGGCTCGCGGCACGTGGCGTGAAACTGAAATACTTAAGTGGTGCTTATTAGTGTGTGTCGCGCGCCCCTCCGCTCCAGGCACGCTTCGAAGCGCCCCTCCTCCCTTTCGCGGCGGGTGCTTTGCCAGCTAACAAACTTCAGCGGCGGGAGAAAGGTTAAATGGAAAGAGAAAAGGAGTTGGTAATAAGGTTTGATGGATGGCTCCGGCGGCCTATAAAAACGCTCAATTTGCACTCCTCCATTGCATCGTTTTTCTATTTGTAATTGCCTACCAATGAATATCGAGGACAGTCACTCCTGGCCACGGGGAGGGCCCCGCAAGGCGCATTTTTCCCTACAGGGGAGGAAAGCGGGGGGGGGCGTGATTGACACCGCTCACCCTCCAATAATCGGGCCCAGCGGGCTCGCTGGGAAAGGAGGTGGCAAGATAATGAAGGCGATGGGCTGGGCGCCGTTGCCAGAGTGAGCGCAGCTGTCTAACTGGTGGGCGGGGCTTCGCTCAACGGCACAACAAGGGGGAGGGTAGGTGGGGAGCAAGGCTTTTAATGAGCCTACGTTGGGCTGTCATCAAGTGTCATGTCGGATGCGCTGTGACTGGGAGAGGGCGAAACAAAATGGCGGCGGCTTAAAAGGCAAAAAACGGCGTCCGAAGAAGAAAAGAGGAGGAGGAGGGAGAGCGCGGGTCGAGCGAGAGAGAAAGAAAGAAAAGTTCGGCGGCGAAGGCGCCAGCAGGGGGCGCAGCTGCGGCAGCCCCGGGCGGCTGGCTCCGCCTCTTTTGTCGTTCGCCCTCCGCCTCCCGCCGGCTGGCGCGGGTGGGTCGCGAGTGCCCCCCGCCGGCTGAGGTGAGGCGCCGGGGCCCGACCCCGAGACCCTCCCCGGCCCTTCGTGGCCCATGTTCCCCTGGGGAGGGCGTACGTACAGGGTCAGGGTCGGGGCCAGTAGTGGAGGCGTAAAGGGAGGCCGTCGCGTGTTTAAAGCGGTCGAAGGGTAGGAAAGGTAAACAGTCACCTCAGGGCCACTTGGGGGGGGCGGCGGGGGCAGCTTGAAGGGTGCGCGGCCGGCTTGACAGTCGCACCAGGGCAGGCTCTACGTATTCCTTGAGTGAGCAGCTGGACAGAAGGACTTTTCCCGTAGATCTGGACCAGAAGGGAAGAAGAACGTGGCTTGCTTTAGATTGCCACCCAAAGGAAGAGAGAAAGTGGCCCTGTGGATTTGAAGCTAAAAGTTTAGGGCATCTAAAATGTAATAAGGCTTCCTGGACCCCACTGTGCTTCTATCTAGACTGACGTCTTCCCCCAGTTTCATCAAACCCTAAATTGTTTCCCCCCCCCTCTCTTTTCTTCCTCTGTTTCTTTTTGGCCCTGATGAGGCTTCGGTGGTGGGCATGGCAGATGGCTGCTGTTGGCATGTTTTTATTTCACCCCGAGACAGATTTGGCTTATGTACCTATTGTCTTGGTCTTATCTAAAGCCACTGTGATATTGTGGGATAGAGGGTTAGACCTAGGACTCAGGAAACATGGGTTCAAATCTTCTCTTGGCCATGGAAATTCACTGTGGAATGGCAGTGTTAAAACCATTCCTTGAATATCCCACTATCTTAAGTTGTGTGGAACCTAACCACAAAAAAACAATAAATTTGTGTGTGTGTGTGGTGTTTTATAAAGTTTTGCAGCCAGAATCTTGCCCAAGGGACTTTTTTGTCTGAAACCGATGTGAAAGGAGGTTGTATGGAGGCATTGGAGTGGAAAGGATGGATGTGGCAAAATGTTTCAGTGCCTGGTGATGTAAACAAGAAGACAGGTCCTTGCCCTAGCATGTGTAGAATGTAAAATTTGACTTGGTGGGTTTTAAGGAGGATCTGGGAAAGGGATATGGCTGTGGAGATGCCTTGATATATATTTTTGTTAAACTTATGAATGATACCCTTTCTCCTCAAAACTACTGGGTTATTTTGCCCTGCTGCTCCCTCAGGTGGATTTGTTGTTGTTTGCTTGTTTCTTTATTGCAGCATTTTTCAAGAAGTTTGAGGTAATGCATGCAGGTTTTTCTAAATCTTTATTTTTCTGTCATTTCGTGAAATTAAGCTAAGGGGTGATAACTGGCCCAACTGGTTGAAAAGACCTGTCAAATAACTACTGTTTGAAACTGGCCATAGTTGTCCCCAGTCTATCTTCCAAGTGGAAGAATGTTACACAGCTGGGGTGCTGCCACATAGAAGAAGGATCTTACTAAGAGGCCCAGAAATCTGGACTTTCTGAGATGATTTGTGAATGGGGTCTTCCCAGTAGATCTTGCTTCATTTGTAGAATGTTACAGGGAGAAGCATTCATTTTGATAATCAGCTCCAAATCCATTTAGGACTTTATTTGTCAACAGCTGTGCATTAATTTGTCCTTGACTGCACTGAAAAGTGAGCAGTCAATGTAGTTCATCAAAGAATTGTCTTGCTTAGCTCAACCTGAACTCAAGCCTTTTGTACAAATTTCAATTTTTAGACCTTTTTCAAAGGCAGCCCCACAGTGTGTGCATTTTGGTAGTCTAACTAGAAGGTTTATAAGATGTGGGTTATTGTGACCAGACTTTCTCTGTCCTAGGGCAATCTGAAGGTGGGGGGAAAATCCACTTGACTTTATATTGCTTGGCTGATTGGTGACTGGATGGAATCTGCACATCATTTAATTTCAGTTTGATTGCAGACTATTTTATAATCCTCCCCAAAATGTATGTATAGATTGGCTCCAAAAGGAAGCATTGTGTGATACATGAGCATTATACTTGTTTGCATGTGTAGATTGTAACTTGATACGCAAATATGGCAAAAGCCTTTGTCAGCGTTGTGCTAAGGACTGTTGGAATGTTTTAACTATAAAATATATGTTACACTTTACCCAAGAGATGGAAACTTCATGATAATATTTTTGGGCAAAGCATCCAGTTAAAGTTACTGGATGCTTTGCCCAAAGTTATGTAATGTTTACATAAATATTTGGCCCAGCTTTTTGATTTCATTTATCACTGGGTGCAACAGTTATGAAATGGCAAGTGTATAAGAGTAGACCTTTGGTCTTGATGGGATAGAAATCCAATAAATAAATATGTGTGAACTAATCCTTTTCTATGATTCATAACCTGGGCTAATAGGCTGATCACTTGTCTAGTTGTAAAGATCATACATGTGTGGTGGAGGTACTCTGTATCTCAAAATAATGACCTCTGTTTATCTTGCATACGGTAGCATGATAACATGATTTCCCTCCCTTCCATTTCTGAAGGAAAAGGGTATGTAAAAGTTAGGTTCATGTATGGGTAACCACTAACAACAAGGAATTTCCATGTAGAGCTACAGGTATTGAGGATCAAAGTTTGGAAATAACCCATTTAAATGAAAATTATTATTAAAGTAATAAATTGAGCTACCTATTTAATTGAATAACCAAAATCCAGTTGCTTAGTGCAGTAAAACATATGAATAGGTCCTTTAAGTCAATGGGAATTTGGTGAGTCAGCTCCTCTGTAAGTTCCATAGATTGAATTTATTTTATTTATTTATTTATTTGATTTATATCCCGCCCATCGGTCTGGTCGACCACTCTGGGCGGCTTCCAATAAGGGTGTATACGATAAAACATAAGAATTTTACAAACAGTCCATAACACATAGAATAATAATACAAATAATAAATGAAAGAAAAAATAAAGAAAGAATTAAATATTGACAGGAGGGAAGGCCTGAACACACAACCATGTTTTTAGTTGACTCTTAAAAGTGCCCAGCGTAGGGGCCGTACGAATAATCGGAGGAAGGTTATTCCAGAGGCTAGGAGCCACCGCCGAGAAGGCCCGGTTTCGTGTCCTTTCCTTCCGGGCCTCCCTCGGTGTTAGGCTCCTCAGCCTCACCTCCTGGCTTTTGCGGGTGATCTGAGTAGATCTAGGTGGGAGCAGGCGTTCCGCCAAGTATCGGGGTCCTAAACTGTTTAGGGCCTTATATGTAAGCATTAACACTTTGAAGTCAGTGTGGAAACGGATGGGCAGCCAGTGCAGCATGGCCAGAGTAGGAGAGATGTTGGTATTTTCTCACTCCAGTAAGGAGTCTGGCCACCGCATTCTGCACCACCTGAAGTTTCTGCATCAGCTTCAAAGGGAGCCCCATGTAGAGCGCGTTACAGTAGTCTAATCTAGAGAATACGAGCGCATGTACTAAGGTAGTGAGCGCCTCCGTGTCTAGGTAAGGTTGCAGCCGGGCAATCTGCCAAAGGTGGAAAAAGGCGGTGTGGACTACCGACGCCACCTGCATTTCCGTGGTAAGCATCAGGTCCAGG